AGGTTAACTTATCCCGAGGTCTACATCCTTGACGGAGGCTACAGCGCCTTCTTCTCCGACCATCGTGACCGATGCTACCCACAAAACTACGTTGAGATGGATGATAAGGAGCATGCGTTCACGTGCGAGCGTGAGATGGGCAGGCTTCGTCAGAACAGAGGAAAGCTTAGCCGTGCCCAAACTTTTGCTTTCGGCCAGCATGGCGGCGTCGAGGATAGCCCCACAGGACCGAGCCGATCAGGCAGAGCATTCGACACTATGATGCTCGATTCATCCCCCATACCGAACGATAATCGCGTCCATGGTCGCCGTTTGGCATCATATTAATTTCCTCATGACTTCGTTTCTTATTGGCCGGAGTTTTGATATTTTTTCCTTTTGGCGTTCCGGTATATGACTTCAACACATTTTCAGCGACTGAGCGAGCCGCGTTTCATTCATCCTTCTTCGCATGGCGCACATGACAACCTTACATGGACTTTATGGCATTTGAGCGACTATTGCGTCTTTTGCTCCAGCTTATCAACCTTCTGCATCTGCTGCATTGTCCGCCACGACTACTCTACCATACCCCACCAGCACTTCATTATGGAGCTGCTCTGCAAATATCTTATTTGCATACTCTAAATCCCGCCGTGGATCTTTTATACGCGACCACGCAATGGCCAATGGCCATTATCCAACCAACACACCCGGATTAGGTATTTCCAGCAATTATCTTCTCCACCATACACCATACTATAGCCGCAACCATCGTGTCGGCCACAAACCTATTTCCTTGACGTCTAAAGACTCGACTTGTTTCTCAAAACAGACCAAGCGAGCACATACTGGATGAGACCATCCAGCTCTCGCACTCACACCTTGTTCTCTCACACCAACTACGATGTCTCACTTGAGGCCCTTCTTGATCCTGTTTTTGCGTTCGCTTTTGACATCTGCATTGCACCACACTGCATAGCTTTTCTACTTTTCCCTCTATAGTGATGGGGAAGTTCTATAGGGCTGTGTTTTTTAGCCGTCGGCGAGTTTTTAGATTTCAGACGGGCTGTGCGATTATTGCAGAGGGCGAAGAGCGACTACTCTGTATTGAACCATGTATCTTTGTAGAAATTGGCCCTCCTTGGGGGGGGGGCGGTACATGTGGGGATAAATCATATGAAGGGGTCGGATTGAGAAGCATTAGTTGTTGAGATACTTAGGAGAGAAAACTTTCGAAGCATCTTGTCTTTTACTTTGGAACGTGATTGAAATTATTATGCCTTCCATCTTAACTGTAGTTACAATTAATCGTGGGTAGAAGGAAAGTGCGTTGGGGTCATTTTGCACAGTAAATACAACAACTTCACATCTATAATATCGCGACGATTTTACAACCTTTTTAGTACTTGACAACTTTATAATACTACAAAATTTAAATATTTCTAGCGTAAATAGTATGAATATATATATATTATCCATTGAATTTTAAGAACACTAATAGAGCGTTTGAGGTAGTTGTCTAATGTGTTTTTATTACATTTCTATCTTCTTGTTACATCAAGTCACATTACATATAATTTACTATATAAAGGTACTTACAATATTTGGTGGGTCGAACGGATGTTGCCTCCACCCAGTTCGCAGACAAGGGTCTAAAACTTAGGACTTGTACGCTACGCCTAAACCGGCGCCAATCGAGGCGGTAACCGCTAGCAGAAAGCTCACCAAAAAAGATAAACCAAAATAAATCGCTACTTGATTAAAACCAGAAAGCCAATCCAGCCCACCAACCACCACGCAAAAACGCAACAACAATGGGCGGCAAACACAAGAGACAAGCGCAGGACGCACCCGCTGGTGCACCTGCAGCTAAAAAACAGGCCAAAGAGGCAAAGAAGGACCCGAACAAGAAGGAGACGAGAAAATCAGCTGCCGCTGCGAAGAGAGCCGCAATCGAGGCCGAGCCGCTGCCCATACTCCCCTTTGTGGACAATGCGAAGGGACCAGAGCTTAAGCGCGAAGTGCAGCTGTATGATCAGCTCTCGAGCGAGGATGCGGCTGAGCGACTCGCTGCTGCGGATGCGGTTGTTTCGGGGCTTTTGATGGGGGAGGGAGCGTCGGAGACGACGATGCAGAGGCATTTGGAGAGGAGACTTTTTAGAGGGTTGGCGAGTGGGAGGAAGGGCGCGAGGTTGGGATTTAGTATTGTGTTGACGGAGGTGCTGGGACAGATGTTTGGGAAAGAGGATAAATATCCTGGATTGGGATTTGATAAGGTTCTTGAGATTCTGAAGCTGAAGACGAAGCCGGAGGGTGATCTGAGTGGACAGGAGGAGAAGGATCATGCGCTTGGTCTGCTGTTTGGATTACAATGCTTTGTGAGAGCTAAGATCCTCTTCTCGGGCGAGGAGAAGAGATGGGAGGTCGTGTTTGATTCGCTCATATACCTTTGCGGTAAGAAGCCATGGTTGAGAGAGGAAGTCGGATGGGTGGTTGTCGAAGCCCTAGCGCAAATGTCTCAGAGCCAAGCCGAGACGACGCTGCAGAGACTGTTTGAGGCGGGTTTGGCTGCGTCGCCCGAGGGTGTCGGAATCTGGATCGCAGCGCGTCGTCAGTTTCCGGACATGAAGTTCCCGCCGAAGCCGTGGGGGAGCAGCGGGAACCCGCTTGAGCACCTGAAGTCGCTGGGGAAGGCGCTGAAGGAGAGCTCGTCGCCGGAGGGAGAGGGCCAGGCAAAGCAGACTGGGAACTGGAATCCGCAGTTGCACTTTGTGTGGGGTATGATCGTCGATCAGTATGTGGCTGGTGCGAGGGCCGGTGACGAGGATGTCGCGGATGAGTTTGAGAAGTTCTGGAAGGTTGCTGTTGATGGTAATAATTTCCATGTCTTAATTCAAAACCCATGCTAATGATTGAACAGAGAATCTATTTTCGGCATCTGCTTCCCGAGAGCGCAAGTTCTGGGGATTCCTTCTTTTCCAGAAGATGCTTACAGACTCATCGGATTATAAGGAGCTCCTTGTTAGCGTTTTCAGCCCGAACCTGGTCCGCTGCCTTATCAACCACATGTCGCAAGAAGATCGCTTCTTGCACCGCGCTGCTGAGAAGAGTCTGAGAGCTGTCCAACAGATGGCCGAGGCCCACCCTCATACTATCCCTACAGTTCTGCCAAAACTGATTGGCGGCAATGGATTCTACAACTTCGACCAAGTTACGAAGACGAAGACCATTGATAAGATGCTCGGCTGGGCTTCTGGCAAGGATGCAGAGGCCGTTGTCGACATTCTGCTCAAGCCAGCGCTGAAAATCGAGGGATGCGAGAGCGACAAGGACGCCGAGACCCGCCGCCAGTGCTTCGGAGACTACTTGCTCTCCATGATCCGCCGCGTTAACGTCACTGATGAGTCCGTTGATGCCACCTGGGTCAAGACCACTGGTCTACCCACTCTCGGCAAACTCTCATACTCCAAGAAGCACCTCAAGTGCAAGCCGGAGTTGTCCGAGGCATCAAGGACCATGTTCCGCGGCCGCCTGACGTCCGCTTTCGCCCACCTCATCTCCGATCCAAAGGGCTTCCCATACCCGATTGAGCTACTTCAGTCCGTGAAAACCGATGCCGTCGAGATGGAGGACGAGGTCGAGGCAGCTAAGGACAAGGCTCTGGCCACAATGGAGAAGTTGCTCAAGAAGACAAAGAAGGCTTCCGAGAAGGAGAAGGTCTCGCTTGAGGCCCTGGCGCTCCTTTACGCCTTGGTAGTCTTCCAGCTTCTCAACGGCGAATCCGACGCCGCGTCCGTTCTGGACGAGCTCAAGCTCTGCTACGACAAGCTGATCCGCGGCAAGGAGGACGAGGAGGGCCAGGACGTGTCCCAGGTGCTCGTCGAAATCCTTCTATCCCTGATGTCGAGATCATCCCTTCTCCTCCGCAAAGTCGCACAACACGTCTTCACAGCCTTCGCCACCGAAATCACCGCCGAAGGACTGGCCCTGATGACAGATGTCCTCGGCGCGGCCGAGAGCGCAAAGGGCCAGCAAGCACTCTTCGACCAGAACGACGATGAGGAACACGACCACGATGACGAGGAAGGCTCTGACTCCGACGAGCTTGACTCCGACGTGGAAATGATCTCCGCAAACGGCGACGATGCTGACGACGCCGCCGATGACGGAGAGGACGCCGACATGGCAGCCCTCGACAAAGCCCTCGCCGCCGCGCTGGACACGCACCGTCTCGACGAAGACGCTGCCGCGGAATCGGAATCCGATTCCGACATGTCTGACTCTGAGATGCTGCAGCTGGATGAGAAGCTAGTTGAGATCTTCGCTGCGCGCAAGAAGGTCCCGAACAAGAAGCAAGAAGCCAAGGACGCGCGCGCTACGGTCGTCAACCTTAAGAACCGCATCCTGGACCTGCTAGAGATCTACGTGCGTCGCGTACCCGAGAAGGTGGAGGCATACGGTCTCATTCTGCCGCTTCTTAGATGCATGCGCGAGACTGGTACGAAGCAGGTTGGCGAGCGTGCGCACTCTGTGCTCGCGGCCTTCAAGAAGGCGACCAAGGGGGGTAAGGCAGATGGGGATGAGGAAGAGGGAGAGGAAAAGGCTGATTTCGATATCCTGGAGCGGATTGAGCTGTTGAAGGAGATTCATGAGGAGGCTGCTAGGGACGCGAGTCATGCGTTTGCGAAGGCGGCGAGCACGGCGAGCTTGCTGGTCGCGAGTAGTCTTTATAGGGTTGATAAGAGGCTTGTGAAGAAGGTGGCGGGTGTGTATAGGGATACGCAGGTGCAGTGGGTGATGGGGGAGAAGAAGGTGGCGGCGGGGTTGTTTGTGGATTGGGTGAATTGGTGCCAGAGTCATGCTGGAGCGGCGAAGGAATAGAGATGCGCGGTGATGGATGGATGGATGGATGGATGAAATAGTTACTGTCGGTTTTGGACAGATTGTTAGTGTTTTTTGGTTTTGATGGCAATTTTGAGTGTGCATAGCTTTGATTCGAGTTAATGAACATCTATGCCCTACGTTTTCACATATAAACCAATGCACTGAAGTTACGCCATAAATCACTCAAGGTTCAAACAATCCCATAGCTCGACCAAAAAACAGCAATAATCTTTATGAGTATTCTACATAAGCATACATTTCACATTTTATCCCCTGCATGCCACCACTTCGCTTCTAAGCCTTCTTCCCCACCCTCTTCGAGGAAATGCCCGTGTTCAGGCTTCCGAGGAGGTACACGGCAACAAACAGACCCAGAACGCTAACGATGATCACAACTGGCTTCCTGAGAGCCGCTGAAAGAGGGTATTCGTAGGTGACGATGAGCTCGCGGTCGCGGACCGCGTCGACGAGGTTGCGTGCCTGCAGGGTAAGAGCGGTGCGGCCGATGGTGTCCATGAAGGTGACGTGGGTGGAGATTGTGGCGGAGACAATGGGGACTAAGGTCTCGTACTTGACGTTCCTGAGTAGTGTTAGTGGTTTATCTCAGGAGTAGTGTGGGGTGATATCTTACGTAGCGCCCTCTGGAAGAATGACACGGAGCTCGACGAATTCGTATGAGATACCCTCATGTTGCTTGGGACCCTCGAGGAAGGGGACGTTCAAGACGTAGCTATCGGAAGACTTGACGGTCCTCAAGAAAGTCGCCAAGTTCGCATCCCATCCGATGCGGAAGGGGTAGTTCCATCCACCAAAGATAGGATAACGGGGCTTGAGCTCCAAATTTGCCTCGCGCTTGTTGCTCCTGAAGCGGCTGGTCGAGATGTTCCCAATGACGTCCGTGTAGTAAGGAGTGAGCGAGCCGACGCGTAGAGGGATGTGGAGCGCCTTGATCGCGGTCGTCTCGGGGGTACGGTATTGCTGGTGCGCCCACTCAACACGGTTGAACTGGGAAGAGAGGTTCGCGGCCTTGTTGACGATAGTGTAGCGTTCCTCAAAGGCGATGTTGCCACCCCAATGGCTGACCTCGATATCTCTCTCTAGCCTTGAGACGTGGATCAGCGGTTGAGTGTGCTGGAAACGGACACGGACGGGCTGGGTGGTTCCTGCCGTCACGTCCTTGAACGGTCCGTAAGTAAGCTTCGAGCCAGCCTTTTGGGCAGACTCTTCCTTGCCCCCAATGCCACCGGTGTATTCTGGGACGCTGGCGCCCGGGAACTTGATTTCGGTCTCCTGGTGTCTGGTGATGTACGAGGATGGCCAGTATGCGGAGAACTCATAGACAAGGAATTGTGGGTCTTGTTGAGCAATGGCTGCTGGTAGAGGGCGCAGAGAGGAGAGGAACGAGTAGCTGATTTGGATAGTCTGTTTTCCCTTTGGCGCCAATGGCTGGGGCAGTTGGACCTTGTAGAATTGGGTTTCGCTATGAAGATTAGCCAGAGTCGACGAACGCGCGCGGTCGGATAAGCATACCTTGAACCATCGATTGAAACAGCCTCGAAGCTAAATGGTGGACTTGTCAAGTCCTTATTGTCCTTCACTTCCAAGTTGCCAAGCTTCTCCGCTTGCGAGGTTGTGAATGGGATGTAGTATTCATTTTGTGCCTCAGGAGAGACGTTCTCTATGACAACATTGACAACGTTCCTAGGGTAGCTCTTTTCGAGGTTGATTGATCGTTGGATATTTATATTTTTGAATACTTGGGGCGGCGTGAATGTCGACGGGAGGATGTTTTGTGACGAGGCCGGTTTCGTTACAGTTGACTTGGAGAGAGCTGCTCCAGCGAAGGAGAGGACGGCAGTCGCAAGCGACAATGCCTTTATGTTAACCATGCCGACAGACGGCTAGATATATACAGTCGTCTCAAATAATATCGTTCGGAAGAGAAGGGTGGATGATCGTTGTCGAGGCCGCCCAGAAGATTTGCCTGAAGCTCTCGTCCCAAGCTTGGTGGTACTTTCAAGGTGTCCTTACAGTTTAGAATTAGCCGCGTACGGACGCGCAAGCTACCGTGCGCTTATCTCAATTTGGAGTTACCCGCGCTGAAGACGCTTGCTGAGTCAGACCCGCACCTTAGCTTATCTGGCCAAGGCTGGGCCCTATGACGGCAAGAAGAGGGGCAAGATCCAACAAAACAAAACAAAACCCAAGACATAACAATCGATTTTTGTTGAGCTGCCCATATATAAGCAGCCAGGTCCCTCGCGATTTGAACTCAGGCCGAGTTTGTGAATTTACACACATATACCTTTTTCTATCATACCTTTACCCTAAAATCCTGTAATCATGGTTGGCCTTGGACCAAAGAAGCCGCCGTCTCGCCAAGGTATGCCTCCGAATTTCGCTCTTTGTCTTTACAGCGTGCTCGGGGAAAGCCAAATGCAATGTGATATAGCTTTGGAAGGAACTTAGCATTTTGGACCAAGCCCATTGCAAAGATCGAGCGTACGGGGCTAAGGTCATGATTTGATCAATCTCGTGGGGTGCGGGGTTGAAATGAAATGCAACAGTAGAGCGACTTCGCTCGGATCTGAAAGCAATTTAAATCAACAGAAGGAACAGCCATGTTTCTTCTATTGCTCAATACTGTTCCCATTCAGCTTCTCCCTCAGCGATGGCATGATACATGGCATCATTTGGCCCCGAAGCAAATCATGTATAACCCATTGCCAACCAATCCGTGCGGCCATTGTGGATAGTAGTGATAGATTCAATGTTTTCCATGTGTCTATAGCGAAGCAGTGCATCTTTAGAGGTCGAATGGAGTCTAACGCGTAATAGGGTCGAGCACCGATCTACCCAAGGATCTAGCCCAAGAGGTTAAGCGCCTCGAGGGCATGTTTACTGTGCCGCAAGAGAAGCTCAAGGAGATCACCGATCATTTTGTGAAGGAGTTAGCCAAGGGCCTTACCGTAGAGGGTGGAAGTATTGTATGCTGCATTGAACCTGTTATACGTATGATATAGGCTAATTTATCGCAGCCAATGAACCCAACATGGTGTATGGGAATGCCAGATGGAAATGAACAAGGCCGCTACTTGGCACTGGACATGGGAGGAACCAACCTGCGAGTTTGCGAGATCACTTTGACCGAGAAGAAGTCCGAATTCGATATAATCCAGTCTAAGTACAGGATGCCGGAAGAGTTGAAGACAGGCGAGGCTGATGAGCTGTGGGAGTACATTGCCGACTGCCTGCAGCAATTTATTCAAACCCATCATGGAGAGGAAAATTTGGAGACTTTGCCTCTCGGATTCACATTCTCATACCCGGCAACACAAAACTATATTGACCACGGTATCCTCCAGCGCTGGACTAAAGGTTTTGACATCGATGGAGTAGAGGGAAAGGATGTGGTCCCTCCATTTTTGGATGCGTTGAAGAAGAGAGTAAGTCGATCACATTGTCCCTTCTTGCATCAGCTAATAACTGTATAGGGTGTTCCGATTAATCTTGCCGCCTTGATCAATGATACCACTGGAACATTGGTTGCCTCAGCATACACTGACACCACGATGAAGATTGGCTGCATTTTCGGCACTGGATGCAACGCCGCATACATGGAGGACTGTGGATCCATCCCTAAGCTTGCTCACATGAACCTCCCCGCGGACACGCTCATGGGCATTAACTGCGAGTGGGGTGCCTTCGACAACGAGCATGTTGTCCTGCCCCGTACGCCATACGATGTTGTCATTGACAAGGCATCGCCACGCCCTGACCAACAAGCCTTCGAAAAGATGATCGCTGGCCTCTACCTCGGCGAGATCTTCCGCACTGTCCTTGTTGACCTGCACGACAACAAGCACGTGAACATTTTCGACCAACAGAACATCGACAAGCTCCGCAAGGCATACACTTTGGACTCCTCATTCCTCTCTGCCATCGAGGAAGATCCATTTGAGAACTTGTCTGAGACCGCAGAGCTCTTCCAAGCAAGACTCAACCTCGCGCCCTCGATGGCCGAGCTCGAGCTCATCCGCCGCCTCGCCGAGCTGATCGGCACGCGCGCCGCCCGCCTCTCGGCCTGCGGTGTCGCTGCCATTTGCAAGAAGAAGGGCTACGAGACGTGCCACGTCGGTGCTGACGGATCTGTCTTCAACAAGTACCCCCACTTCAAGGAGCGCGGTGCGCAGGCTCTGCGTGAGATCCTCGACTGGCCTGAGAAGAAGGCAGGCGAGAGGGACCCGATTGAGATCCTTGCTGCTGAGGATGGAAGTGGTGTTGGAGCTGCCCTCATCGCCGCACTGACTCTCAAGAGGGTCAAGGCTGGCAACATGGCTGGAATCCAGCACCCGGAGAACTACAAATGAGCGCCTTTAGACGCCTAGCAAGTGTCGTTTCAACGAAATTGCTTGAATTTTAGCTTCGTGGCATAGCCCACTTGTAAATAGCAGATTTGCTGGAATACAAGGGGACGTTGGCACCTTGGGGCTACATGACCAAAAAAACACGGGATGTTCGTTATTGTCAGGCTATATAATAAGAAAAGATTAGAGAATGCTTGGTATTGTCTGGCTACATAGCAGATAAGTTGAAGAATCTACTTTTTTTCAAGCCACAAACGCCACTCTTCTTCCCACCACCGTGCAGTTCTCAACATCCAAACGCAGCGACGAGATTCTCACGCCCTGAACTGGTAAACGATTATTGATTTCCCATCCCCACTTAATCAATCACCTAGACGTCCGTTCAACCCATAAACGTACAAATAGGTAGGCGATACGTATCCAATGTCCAATACCTCCTCTTAACACCCTCCCACTCTCCCTCGCCCTCTTTCCCGAGCCCCTCCTCGATAGGCACCTCGACATCCACCCACTGCACTTCCATGCCCACCCCCTCAAGATCCATCTCCGCCACACGCGTGTAAACATCGTAGCATACCCTCCGATCCGCCCCCAGTCCATTGAAAAATCCAAACCTCCCACCCTCTGCCAGCAGCCCAGGCACATAATCCTCGAAGAACATCTTCAGTGCCCCATAGTCCTCCCCAAAGGTATCGAAGTAAATCGCATCATACATCTCCCCCCCCATTAGCAGTGCAGGCGCGATATCCTGCCACCTGCCTGCCCAAACCTTATTCCTTCCCTCCCCCCCTTTCGCCTCCCACTTCGCCCCGAACTCGTGGTCGGGCGCGCCCAGCGATGCAAGAACACCAGGGTGTGCCTCGATGATATGATGTGTGCTCGGTGTCTCAGCAGCGAAGAAGCGGTCCACTATGCCCATCCCGAAGCCGATGTTGAGGACGCGCAGGCCGGGGGCGGGCGCGAGGAGGGCTGCAGAGAGCTTCATGATGTCTGTTTCCCACTCCATCATGACGGCGTTAGCGTCGGAGTCGAGGAGCGCGGTGGAGGTGGAGGTGAGCTCCGAAGCGAGATAGTCGCGGGAGTTCACATCCGTGGGATCTTGCGGGTCGAAGGGCGCGGGAGCTTTTGTGTCGGTGGCTTCTTTCGCCTCATCTGTGGCCTCTGGCTGTGGCTCTGCTTCAGTAGCGGGATCTGTGGTATCTTCTTCCTCGGCTTCGGACTCTCCCCCGCTAGACAAAGGGTCGTAACCCCCCATCATCCCCAGCAGAACTTCGGCCCGCACCCCCGCCTGAACAACTGCCTCATACACCCCCTTCCTCCCTAGACGCCACGCGAGGCACCCCGGTGTCTCACCACTCGCATCAAGATCATTCCAGATAGCGCCCGAGAGGAACAGTTCCGTGACCGTTGCTATAGCAGACGCCTCAATGTCTTCGATCGCGCTGGCGTCGTCACCAGAACCCTTCTCCTCTCCGGAAGCAGGCGTTGCGGCAGCCGGCTCGCCGGCAGGCGCCTCAGACCCTGCCGCCCCCTCAGATACAGGCCCACAGGCTGCAATAGCTGCATGCAGCGGCGTAAATCCTGTCTCTGGATCCTGGGCCGACGCTGCGCCCGGCACGCGCAGGAAGGGTTTGAGGGCTGGGATGTCGTGGTTTGCGGCGTGCAGGAGGATAGTCTGCGTCGTTATGTCCGTTTCGGGGGTGGCGAGGGGGTCGACGTCTGCCATGATCGCGCGTGAGTTTCTTTGCAGAGAGATGGGCTTTGAAATGGCTGGTATGGGAGGCTGGTTGGAGGGGTCCTGGTGGAAATTTACGGATTTGGTGGGGGTGAAGGCGGTGGAAGAGGGCAGAATGGTGGGGCGGTGAGGGGCAGAATGCGGGGGAGAATTGATGATGGGCTTGGGTTGTGTCACATTTGGAATGGGATATGGTGAAGTATCGAGGTTCTTAGAGGAGCGGGGTTGTGTATGCGGGTAGGGTGTCGCGGGTTTCTTGGGGTCGCTGCCCTTCTTTAGGGGCTCTTGAATTCGCGCCCGTCATGGTGATGACCATATATGTTAGATCCGACGCTGCCGGCGTCCACCATTGCCTCATTTGCGCCCATATAGGATATGAGTATCCTCACAATAGAGACAGAGAAGAGAGAGTGTATTCGGGTAGAGTTGAATTGTTTCCATCGTCATCGCGTCCAATCCTCACATAACTGTCCCTCTGCACTTCTCCATATGAACATGACACCAGACCGTGGGTAAGGTACCATCACCACCCATAGCCCCCTTCACTCAGTATCAGCTGGTTTCTATAGCCCCACCGCGCCCCTCACCACCCTCCAGAACGCTATGCCCACTATGAGCGCCATGCCATGCCAGCTCAACCAGGGAATCAGTTCTTACTCGCCGCTTTTGGGGGATATTTCGCCCCATCGACATCGACTGCCTGTGTTAGCTTTGTCGGGTGCTATTGTTCATTGAAACGAGGAATGAAAGAGGAGACAGAGAACGAAGAGAGACGTCGGAGACGGGAGTATGGGAGGAGGCTGAACTAACCCTTGGGCTCGCAACTGCAGCGATCAGTCTCAGGGACGCTGTCCATGACGGAAGGGATATGCGAGCCACAGCCCCACCATGTCTTCTTTTCTGGGAAAGTTAGTTTACTAGTTCAACCCTTATTTAAGTAATGGTTCTGTGTCCAACAGATATTGAGATCCGGAGATGGCACTCACGACAGGTTCCACAGGTGGCGGAGAGACACATTGCTTCTATTCAACTTGAATATATCTGTTGTCGAGGATAGTAGACTGCGTGTATTGCAGTTGTCGTTGGTGATGAAACGCGTTGGTATTGCGAAGATGTTGAGCGAGAAGGGAACTGAGGTGGAGGTTGAACCGTGTAACTCGATTTACTGTAGTGCACGGAGATACGGGAAGGCGGGAATTTTGGACGCCATTGGGACGCGAGTGGTGCTGGTTCAAACTAGCGTCTTAGTTCCTTATCTTTGACAGCCGACCAACGATGATCTATCAAGTCATGAGATGATAAAGTGATAAAAAATATAATTTCAACGCTAAACACATTATGTATGCATCAAACGATGGTAATATTGGCCTGCAATGGTGCCCGTTTTTGTCCTTTATTTTTTCTCTACCCATAATCTACTTCGCTGTCTACCCTCAGCGAGAGTACCCCAGCACCACCCGAATGTTCTCATCTCACCAGCCACGCCACCCAAAGCTCTTACTTGAATCCATTTTCAACAGCCGAGCTTATTTCATCGAACAAAATGCCATCCTCTAAGTGGCCTTCTTTGGCGACGGTGGAGCAAGACTGGGAATCCTCTGACCAGCTCATGGCAACAACAGACGAAGGCGCAGAATCCTCCGATCAGCTCGCAGAAACACAAAATGATGATTCGGGGTCCTCTGACCAGCTCTCAGAAACACCAAACGAAGACTTAGAGCCCACTACAGCCCCTCCAGAATACTCCTCCGTTCAAACAGCAGCGGATATCGAGACCGGGAGCAGCTACGAACTCCGAGGGAATATGGTACGGCGACAGCGCGAGATTGATCTCGAAAGCGGCTGGAGCATGTTCAAAAAGCCTCGTGAAAACTGGATCCATAAAATTGGCAGGGTGCTCACACTTGAAAATATTTGCAAGAGCTTCGGAATAATCATCCTATTTGTCGTTGCCCTTAGTCTCGCTATTATGCTAGGAATGCTTTTGTGGAATGGTATAGTTATGATGATAAAAAGCCGCCAGAGAATTAATGATTAGAGAACTTAGGGTATCCATTGTTGTATATTGCCATGTTTGCACAACCAACGCAATGAGAATCTATCTAGAGTAGCTACAATACTATAACAATCAAGTCCTGAAATTTCACTCCTAGACCACACATAAATGAAGCCTACACCATTTACTGTCCATCCTAGGTACAAGCGGCTTGAAGTTTTCGGGATACAACACATTGGTATTGTGAAGATGCTGCCTTTGAAGTTCACACAAAGATGCGGGCAAGCGGGCGTTTGGTACATTAGTTCAAAGCTAGGGGGAGAGCGGCGTAATGTCGCACTTCCACAGATTGACAGATAACTAGCAGGTACCAGCCGACTACGACCTATCTAATGATATAATCGTAGAACATAGTTTCGGCTCTAAACATATGCTGTAAACGTCGAACGATGATAATATTCTGGTTTGCATATTTGTGCTCTCTCCTTTCTTTCTTCTCCTTCCTTGACTCGACTGCCCTTCCTCAATGGAAGCACCCAGCACCTAGCACCACTTAAACCTTCTCCTACCTGACAAGTCATTCAAATCTCTCACTTGAAGCTCTCCTCATAACCAAGCTCATCCACCAAACTCCATGTCATCCTCCAACTGGCACCAACCAACGGCAGAGGAAGACTGGGAATCCTGCGGTTCGGAAACAACAAACAAAACCACTACACCCCCACCAAAATACTCGTCCCTACGAATGGTCGATAATGTTGGGTCCGGGAGTAACGATGCACTCAGACGGGAAAATTTACAGGAGCAGCTCGAGATCGATGTAGAGAATGGCCTGATCCAGCCCGTGAGGCCTTCTTTAAGCTGGTATGAGGGGATCTGCAATCGCATCTCAGTCAAAAAACATTGCAATCGCATCCCATTCAAACAGATTATCGCTTGCATAACACCCGAAAATATTTTCAAGTTCTTCGGAACGCTTCTGTTATGTTTAGCTGGTGTCACCGCCATCGTTGTGGGCGCAGTTTTGGCGTGGGATTTGATCGTTTATGTGGTAGTAAACCGCACTAAGTCTTGCCATAAGAGTGGTTAGTCCACATGGGCTTCTATATGGTTTATAAAGCTATACATATATACGCGGACACCGCATCAAAAATATAGATTACTATATCAGAATTACTCTAGAGGGTCTCAAGTTCCTCTATCTAGGTTAGCCACAATGCTAGAACAAGCAAACCCTGAAAGTGTACTCTTAAAAGCACGCAGCATTCCCCATCCACCCTCGATACATATGGCGTAAGGGTTCGAGGCTAGGCTAGCTTGGGTGGATGGTATCAGCCCATATACTCCTCTCCTATCTCCCCAGTATCTCCTCCTTGCACCTGTTATATTGTCTCTTTTGTTTACCCTATCTTTATCTCCTAAACGAAGTATTCTAGACCTTCTGCTCACCAACACCTTCACCATGGCTCCCTCCAAAAGCACCCATAAAACACCCCCGCAGCCAGTCCCTGACGACCCTCCACAGTCTCAATGTACGACTATCCAACTAGTAAAGCACGCTGAACGTGATCTCACGTACAATGAGATGCACTATCGACAGACGCAGATCTATCTTCGACACCAGGAAATCGAGCTTGCGAAAGCCGAGCGTCAATTTCGAGAGCAGCGTTGGTGGGATATTAGTCATGTCGCTGTCTTGGGCACGATGACGCTGTCTGTTGCCTTTATATTTGGGGTCATCGGCGTATGTTGTTATAATGATTTGAGTACAAAAAGGACTTCTCAGGCCAGTGTTCGGCGGATCGTGATCCGGATCATGATCCGGATCGGGTCGGGTCATCTACGATCTGTGCCGAACACTGTCTCAGGCCGAACATAAATGACGCATCGAGTTTTTATATTTTAATTACCTAAAGTATATAAACAATTGAAAGCTGTTCACATGGTGTGACTTATTTGGACCCGGACTAAAACAAGTTGCTAATTTAGTGAAAGCACAATACACTAAGCTTACTACCTGCCCTTTCTCGACGTTCTCCCTCTCATAGTCGTTTTCACAGAACAATACAGAGCCCTCTAATCATGCGCCTTTTCACCATGGCTTCCTCCAAATGGTCAAGGAGCGCCGATCCACAGTCGGACTACATGCCATGTGAACCCGCCCCTACACAAGACGAGATAAACTACCCACATGAGCCGATCGATCTTCGCAACAGGGAACTTGACCTCGAGAAAGCTGAGCGCACGCCCCGAGACCAGCCTTGGCGGAACCGTTTGACGCTCTGTACTGTGGGATTAGCGTGCCTGTTCGTTCTTACTTTAGTCACGCTAGGAGCCGTGGGGTTCTATTTCGACATGATCAGACCAGGGGGTTCGAAAGCACACGAGGATTGAACCAACTTCTTTTAGTTTGTGCTTCATAGACCATAATACAATTTTTTTGACCACCATTCATATGGTGTGACTTATTGCTTATTGAGACTAAAACGAAGCTACTAAATTATTGAAGACCTGAGAAATGAGCCCACTCCCGCCTTCAATTCTCTTCACACCACTCTTATTCCACTGCATGAGGCAAACCTAGGCCATATATGGAAGACATGTCAACCCCTCAAAGAACAAACGAGTCAGCAAACTCCACAGCCACCCAGCCAGCAACACCCCATACAGCAGGAACCATTAGACTAGCCCCTACACCAGAAGAGATCCAGCTCCAACAAGTACAACTACAGCTCGACCAGAACGAGGCTCCCCCAAGAACAGGATGGGCGCGCATAATCGAAAATAGTATTGTTCGTGTGTTAGTTTTGTCCTTATTTAGTTTTAGCGGGGTCCTTTTCATGATATTTGTGGCCTGGGTGGGCAACACGGTTTTTGGGACAAGGGCTTAATATTTGTATCAATGAATAGGCAGGGGTTGTTTGGGAGATTTTGATTTGAAAGTGCATGGGGTAAGAACTATAAATTATATGCCCTGTTCATGGTCTGATACTCTGAGGCTTTCTGGTATTAGAAATAAGACTCTTTCCACATTCCCATTTCATTACCCTTCCTCTTCATCTTTCTTCACCTCGTCCTTCCCGTCTCTTCTGTGATATCGCTCATACAATACCTCAAATCTCCTTTGCTTCACAAAAATTGACAGCGCTTCAAACTCTCCGCCATGGCCGTCTACCGAAGCCCATTTGAACCATCACCGGAGTCCATGCCTGAGTCGTCTCTGGCATCCACACCGATGCTTACACCGCAGTCTACACCTGAGAATACACCCGTGTCTACACCTCCTCCCACACTACAGCCCACAGGGGATTATAGATTTGTGTTTGTACCGCAGCATATCCCGCCATTTGTACCACGGACCGCACCACCGACTGCACCGCAGACTACAGCGGAGACTATACTGCCGCAAACCACATCACAGCGTCCACTACATCCAACACCGCAGTCACCACAGCCCACTACTGTCAACCCATCAACTACCCAGACTGAAAATCAGCCATCAACCAAGGAAATCTACAAGAATATTGCTGTCCGACGATCACAGGTTGACCTTGAGCGTGCGGAGCTTGGACTTGCGTGCCGGAAACGACTGGCAGATAAACTAGAGACGGGTGTATGGCTGTTAATGGGATTTGTGGTTGTCGTTACCTTCAAAATACTGTTTATTTAGTCGTGGATCGTGGGTCATACTATCATTCGATCATCTTGGATTGGTTGAGGCAAACTTTGACGTAGGCAGGATTTAACTGGATTTAACTGGACTCTTCTAGTGGAATTTTTCTTAGTGGGAGTTTGGCAAACGAGATGTACGATTGAATCTCATGATGCATGGTCTGATATGATAATATTAATTACAATGGCCAAGTTTTGACAATATACTTAAGATTGGCCCCTTTGTAGTTTCACTTTCGTCGCCTTTTCGCTCTATCCCTTGCTGTTCTCTCGCGTTCCCTTTCTTCCTTTCCCTTACTTTTGTCTCCATACGCAATCTCAATACACAATCTCAAAAACAACCACACTCAAAGTGCTATAAACGCCGCTTAAACGGCAAACCCATCACTATTGCCATGTCTCAAAGCAAACCCGAATCTGGACCACAGTCTCCACCTCCCCCATACTCCACACCCGCCACAGCACAGACACCCTCGTCGTGCCTCCAATACGATGGGGCCACCCTTCAGTGCAAACATACCGCACTGGAAAAGGACAAGCCCGGCATCAACCCAAGACAGTCTACATACGACGACGAAAAGCTCAACTGTCAGTGTGAACGTCACATAAAGGAAACAGAAGAGCTGAATCTCCTGACACCAAAACGCGAGATTTGCAAGGAAGACGGGGAATGGAAATGGAAGACAAAAAAGGGGGACATCAAACGGAAATGGGCGACGAAAAAAGCTGATATGAAACGAAAATGGGAGAAGGCAAAGGACGATATGAGAACGAAGACAAAGGAGGATGGGGCGCACTCATATACACCATTGAATGAGAACGAGAAAGGAAATGGGGATAAGAGGCGCCCTGATGTGCCCTTGCGAGAGAACGTGAAAGAGACTATACATCCCTACCCAGGAAAAGACGTGAGATACAGTCGTGCGGCCCTGTCGGGGAATACCGACGCCACAATATTAGCTGCCTTTGTTTCGCTTGCACTCTGGATGATGTCGGTAACGTAAAGGTAGAAGAGGTAAATTCCGTTAATAGACCTCCTTGGATTGGTTGAGGTCTTGATTATATAGATGGGGTAAATTCGATTCATGTGATGGGGTTTGATTTCAATGGGAGTTTGATAAAGCGGAGTGTATAAAAGGAAATACTATTATAGCTTGACATTGTAAGACTGAATGAACGTAACTGCTGCTAGACAAATAAATGGCTATACGCGCATGTGGGTGTGGATTTACATTTTAATGTCGTGGTGTATATAGCTCGAAATTTGGAGTTGCGCTCTGCCAAAATGTTTTGATGAACGAGTGAGAATTTAGTGCGACTTCCCAATATTGCTCGTCATAACTATTCCGGTGGATAGAATGATAGATTATTGGGCCCGGGCGTAAATAAGTTTGGAAGGAATGAGCAACGTATATAATTTCTTCGTGGCATGAGGTTTTGAGACCAAGTGCGGCAGTGGTCACGCTTCAATAAAAGCGCAAAGATCAGATAATTTCCTATTAAAATAGGAAATACTACTATAGGTTGGCAGTGTAAGATAATACAACTGTCAAATGCTAATAAACCAATGAGAATTTAACGCCACATCCCCATTTTGTTTCTGTTGCTTTCTCTCACTTCCTTATTCTACCCCGCTTCCCTCTAGCAACAAGAAACGAAAAACTGCAACATTCCAAAACTCCATACGGAATTGCAACTTGCTAAATCTTCTGACTATTCACCATGAGTACTCCTAGAAGTACGAACAAGTCTACGCTACAGTTGTCACCAGTCCACTCAGCAGCAGCCCTTCAAACACCGAGGACATCGCCTCCATACGGTCTCACACACGATGGGATCCGCCTTCGTCGGGAATATACCGGCTACAGAATGACGAACTTAGTCTCCAGATACGAAAGCAGGAAATCCAGACAGCGAGGGAAAAAAAAGAGCGCGAGGAAAGTGCTAGCGTTGTCCTTGCTGCACTCATTGTGGTGTTCGCAATTATCTATTGGTGGAAACGTTAAAGGATTTTGCATAGGACGGCTTTATGTTAATTATGGAACTAGAGAGTTGTTTTGTGAGGCCTGATGAACAGGATGTTCGATGACAGATGTGCGTGACTTGCATGGCTTGACAATGAGCTGTCAAACTTTAGTAAGTAGGCTAAAATTAGCCCCATTCCGCGTTTCTCATATCATACACTCGCCTTATCGGCCTCTTCGCATACGATTTTAAACACTCAACCCATTAGCTTACTGAGTTACAGAAGGAATACCCACCACCATGGCTGATCAACCCTTAACAACCTCGCACCGCCTATCAAGCCAATCTCCTATCGGTTATGCCGCTGATCCACAGCCTAGAAGTCCTAGTAGTACCACGGACTCCAACAGCTCTAGTGTCTCTGGGCCCAATCACAAGACTCGCCTCTCTAACTCAGAAAATAAAAATGACAGATCCAAAATCATGCTTCGCTGCAAGGAGATGGCTCTCGGAAAGGCAGAGCTTGACCACAAGCTTCAGATATTTCAGCTCCGGTCCAGCTTTAATAAGGCCGAGCTCGAGCACAGGCCCCAGAAGATCCGGTCAGAGGGCATCTATCATAAAAGCGAGCGTGAGCTCAAGGTACACAATGAGGGGATTTCGGATGGTGCGGGTCAATTGATAGGAGGCATAGGGTGTTTTATGCTCGCTGTGCTCTTTATGGTGAGCAAGGCGCTGTCGGCTGCAGCTGCGCCTAAGTAGATGCCGTATTGAACTGGTGGGAGCTAATGAGTAGGCTAAGTGAGTTGCCTAGAAGGGAAAATGAAAGATGAATTAGATTTGATTTGCCATATGTCTGCCTTTATAATGGCGTGAGTATTTTGAGACTAAGTGCTTCATTAGCTAAACTTTAATAAGCCGGCTAATGACTAGCTTACTTCCTCCTGTCTCATATATTCCTAATATTCTTCTCACACTAATAACATACCACTCTATAATACTCATAGATTGACATATAAATCCTTTAACACATTACACTGCGAACATAGTATCTACTACTATGAGTCCTCGCCCTTTAACAAACCCATTTCACCCATCACCAAACCCAACATCCTAGGAACAACCCTCATCTCATAGCAACGCCTTAGGAAACATTACCGCCAGCCTTAGCAGCTCCAGCATATACACCGACTACAATAGTTCTACCAGCTCGGAAACTATTTCTGGCGCGCCCTCCATGTCTTCTTGTGAATGCTCGAAACGAGACCACCAAATAACCCTCCGCTACCACGAGATGGAGCTAGAAAAAGCAGAGATCAAGTTCAAGGCCGAGAAAGCCGAACTCGAGCTTAAACAATACAAACAGGAGTTTGATCTCAGGCTACAGAAGGAGAAGATAGATATTGAGATTGGACGTAAGAAGGTCCAGCTTGAGACGAAGCACAAAGCCACCGACCATACACACACGCATAGTGTACCACAGCACAGTCTATCCAAGGGTTGGAAGTGGAGTGATATAGGGAATGTCGTGGGTGTGATAATACTAGTGATTTTAGCTTTTTCCGCAATTGTTCTTCTTTTCGTGGCTTTCGCAATGGTGATGACTATTCCAATAGGTATGATGGAATGTTGGATTGTTGGTTGTAACTGAGTTTTTTTTAGAAATGGAAAATCTATGGATTCTTTGTAAAAACGTAGTTTCTCATAGCGTGTGGTTTTAAGACTAAGCGCAATAGTGACTAAACTTAATAACGCGGTGTGCTAAATATTAGCTCATTTTCGATTTCATTATTTTCTTATATCTGCCCTTGCCCCATTTCTCGTCTTCCCATCTAGATACCGCAGAATATAACAACAGACCGACCAACAACCTCACTAAATTACTAAACTACAAACTACAAATACACGATCACCACCACAATGGCCCCTTACACCCACACTCCTGGTACCTCCAGCTCCCCTATAACCCCGCCATCACTTAATGACGCCCAAATCAACCTACGCAACCGCGAGTTGGATCTTGAGAAAACCGAGCTGAAGTCCAAGAGCAAGGAGGCCCTACTAAAGTGCAAGTTCTACAGAGCCAAGCATAATCTCGATAAAGCGGAGATGAAATATGAGCGCCGCAAGGCAGATATTGAGGCCAAGCGAGAGAAACAGAAGACTGATTTTGAGATTATGCAGCGAAAAATGGCCCTCGAAGCCGAGCGGCGAAGAGACGATCTCGAACTCAAGTACCAGAAGTTTTCAACTGACCTTAAGTCTGAGTTCGGAAACCAGACGCCGAGGACGAGGCCCCAACTGATGGAGAAATTGCGGGCATGGAAGTTGCGATGGGTATAGGCGAGGGGATATTGATATTGCTGCTCTTTTCGTGGTTATTTTCCTTCACAGTGTTTTGGTCATAGTGTTGATCTGGTTTATGAAGAATGTTATCTAGTTTATTAGAGAGGATGTACAGTCTAGGTCGCTCATAGGGAATGAGTAACCTGACTACGAGATTTTAAGATTTAAAGTAGCAGTGAGAGTGTTGTGTAGGAATATCAGCCCATTTTCTCACATGTCATCACCCCCAATTCGGTTTTCATTGTCAAATTACCTTTGCAACCCTCCATTTTATTTTCATTGTCTAGGTGCTACTATATAATACCAACAGATCAACCTATCAAGCAATTCTTTTGTTACCTACAACGCACAACTCCCCATAATGATTTCTGAACCATTTAAACCATCATCCCAGCCATCAAACCCACAACCTAATCAACGGTGTGGTCTTTGGATTCTTGGGGGGTATAGAAGGACTGCTAGTCGGCCCCCATCGCTCTGGTACGATACTTGGCGGCCTATTTCTTCATGGTGTGAGGTTTTGCGACTAAATAAAGTTGCTAATGAAAGATTCGTACTACAAATAAGCCCGTGTCATCCCTTTACATTACTTTCACCCACGACCTGTTTACCTTCATATCTATATAACGCTCGAGAATATCGAACCAGCAACCCAGAAACTCATTAAACAACACAAAATCATTGTCATCATGGAATCTGAACCTCGAACCACCATTTCAATCTCCACCCAACTCAATCTCCGCCGTCTCGAAATGCAGTTAGAGAGCGAGGAGCTCATATATAAAAGCAATCTATCTGTGCATGAGATTAATCGCATCCGAAAGGAGAGGGAGCTCAACGAGGAGATAGACGAGGAGAAGAAGATAGAGAAAAAAAGGGCGACAAGAGGGAGAAAGAGAGCAAGAAGGAGATGAAGAAGATTGAGAAGGAAATTAGGAAGTTGGAAAATGAGAGGGGGAAGGAGATGGGGAAGAAGTGGGGTAATAAGCCGCGAGTGAGTTTCTGCTGGGCTGTCTAGTTTGGTTCTTGACGGCGGTATGGACTGGGACTGTGGCTGCAGCTGCGGCGATGCGGTCCACGACTTGTTGTTGATTTGTGGCGGTGGTGACGAGGAAGACAGCTTGTTGCATCGCGGATAATTCGAGATGGCCGGACGTTTGGGGAGTTCTATGTGGCGTGAGGGTTTGAGACTAGGCGCAGTATAATCAAATATTAATAATATCATGAAATCAGTCCATTTCACGCCACCATTCCATTTCTACAACCCTCTCTATTGCTCTCGCTGCTTCGATTCTCTCACTATCCATCTACACACCCCCTGAAAATACCAATTCGCCAATTCAACACAACCCTGCCACCATGGCGCAACCGCCTCCTCCGCCACACTCCGACCCAAACCTACCAGTGGAAAACCCAGAAATTAATTATTAATTGATGGGGCGATGGCGTATGGAGATGATTGTGACAGGAAAGGGGCGACGAATGGAAAGTGCGATACACACGGACATGGCTGCTAAGGAAGGGGCGGTCCGCCACTAGCCAAATGGAGTAACTGTCAAACTCTAATAAAAGTATCATACTAGAGAACAAACCCATCGCACCTTCCATTTTCGTTTTGTATATATATTCCCTTCTCTCCCCTTTCGTTCTCTACTACCCGTACAGATCTGGAATACCAACTACGAACGTTTCAACACCATATCACCATCTCAACATCTCATCCAACATATAAAATCACCACATCCATGTCTCCTCACCCTCATTCGCTCCCCAAGCCCAAGTCCAAGCAGCCGCACCTGCCGCTCCACGTCCACCAGCTCCACCAGCTCTACCCGGTTTAACACCAGCCCGTTCACCCCCCGCGATACCTCTCCAACCCCCAGCTACGAGATGGCCCAAATCAAGCTTCGCCAACGCGAAACAGCGCTCTCCAAGGCTTCCAAGGAGCTCGCGATCGAAAAAGCGGCCTTCTTTCTCAAGAAGGCTGAGTTTCAGCGCGAGAAAGACGAGTTCGCAGCCGCAACGGACAAGGTAACTCTGGCGGTTAAGCAGAAGAGGACCAAGGAGATGGAACGTCTATGGGAGGGCGTGTTCATAGCGGCGATCGTCTTCCTTGCCATCCCGGTAGTGGCCCTGGGCTCCACATTGATATCGGTGGAGGCGGTGGGGGCCTGGAGAATGTTTGTTTGGGCTATAGCGGCGGCGGCCGGTCATTAGGGCATAAGATGGCATTAAGGATTTGTTTTTGGAGCCATAATCGTGTGTTACTGAGAAGATCTAAGATGCGAAACTGGAGCCGACTATAGTACCAGATTGTTAGACTAAATGCAGTAGCTGCCAAATTTATTAAAAACGTCGTACTGCAGAATTAGTCCATCGTACCTTCCGTTCTCACTCTGTTCCAATATTTCCGTCCCCAATTTCTGATTGCCCTCTTTCTCTTTGTCTTTTTACGTACCTAGACATCGCCCTAGAATACCAACATATCAGTTCATTAGATTACAGCCATACCAACCACAAACCACACAAACACACAAATTTGAGCACCATGTCTCCACACCCACCACCAAACCCGAGTTCTCCATCACCCACCGGCCACACCACTTCATCCCGCTCCACCTCCTCCAGCTCCATCCACTCCACCACCCTCCTCACCCCCGGCGGCGCTTCTCCAACTCCCGGCAATGAGGCAACCCCCACTAGCCTCTACCACAAAACAATTGCCCTAGACGAGGCCACCAAAGACATCGTGGGCGAAATTTCCCAACTGGAGCGAGACTACGCAGACCTCAAGAGCAAGAAGGCCGAGCTGGAGCTGAAGATAGAGGAGCTGAAGCGCGATATGGTGGCGCTGAATGCAGCGGAGAAAAAGGCCGCAGAGAAATGCAAGGAAGAACGTGCTTGTCTGGAAGAATGGGAGAAGAAGTTGGAATTGTTGATGGAGAACCTCAAAGAGCTATATTCTCACAGCAAGGGTGCAGTGATGAAGGCCGTAACAGCTGCGTTGCTTTACATCCCGTTGGTATCGCTCGGAGTTACAGTGGTCGCGACGGAAGTGGCGATAGGTTGGAGGATGGTGTCTTGGGGAGTCGCCGCGGTCAGCCGGTGATCGAGAAGAAGGTGGACATGCATGGCGCCAGGGACACGGAAGAGACGATGTTTTTAGCCCGCTATCACTTATCATAGAGCAGATCCAAGATGCGAAACGCCTACCGACTATAGTATGAGCTTATGAGACTAAATGCAGTAGCTGTCAAACTACAATAAAAGCGTCGTTCTAGTGAATTAATTTAGTCTATCACATCTTATATTCTCATTCCATTATTATATCCCCTATACATTTCTTTCCCCCTCTTCCTCTTTTTTCATACTTAAATGCCGACCCGGAATACCAACGTAGCATCTCAGTAGACCACAAACACTCAAACCCCCAAATAAATAATATCAACTACCCTGTCTCTTCGCCTCCCACCAACCTCGGCTTCTTTGCGGCCCAGCAGGACCATGTCTCCAACCAGCTCCAGCAGCAGCTCCAGTTCCAGTTACAACTCCTTCACTATCCCCGCCACCCCTCGCACCACCTCCCCCGCCCTCAGCACCGAGGAAACCAGTACCAGCCCAGACCAGCCCGAAACAGCGCTCTCAAAAGGCTCTCAGGAATTCGCACGGGAAATCGCCAAGCTCGAGCGCGAAAAGGCTGAGCTACAGCGCGAGAAGGACGAGCTGCAGAAGGAACGTGACGAGCTCGCGTCCGCATGCAACAAAGCCAAACTAGCAACGGAGCAAAAGAAGGCCACGGAGGCGGAGCGCCAGCGCAAGGAGATATACAGCGCGATGGGTGCGGCGGCATTCGTATTGTTCATCATGCCGGCGATATTCATAGCCCTCTCGTTGTTCTCTGCACAATGGGTGGCGTGTATGAGAATGCTGAGATGGGCTGTCCAGGTGGTGGGTTGATGATGGGGAAAGGCATGATGTGGCGTTAAGGGGCACGGGAGGCCTGTTTTTGGCTAACCATAATATATTACGGAGACGAGGAATAGTTGCTGGCTAGGTACGAGGTTATAAGACTAAATGCAGTAGCTGTCAAACTTAATAAATGCGTCGTACTAGTGAATGAGCCCATCATATCTTCCGTTCTCATTTTGTTTCTATATCACCCCACCTCCATTTCCGGGACGTATCCCTCCCTTTTCCGTTAAAATACCGCCTGGAATACCGCCCAGAACACTGCCATATCAAAACTCCACATCAAGAATTAAACACAGACATACTAAAGCGCAAATACAACTATTGCAGCTATGTCTGAAAACCCACCACCACCCACGCCCTTGTCTGACAACCCACTACCAATAATACCCTCGCCTTATAACCCACCACCACCCACCCCCCCCGAACGCCCCAGCAGCCCCGCCTCCTCGACCATCAGCTGGGCCTCCTCCCTCCTCCCCCCCACCCCCTCCGACGTCTTCTCCACCCCCTTCGAGCACAACGGCCTAGCCAGCCTCCTCGACCGCGAATCCGCTCTCTTGCAGGCCCTCCAAGAGCTCGAATCCGAGAGAGCACAAGTAGCACAAGAAAAAGCAGCGCTTGAGCAAGAGCAGGAGATTACGAAACGCGAGAGACGCAACCTCCAATCTTTCCAAGCCAACCTAGTCCGCGAGAAGATTGATCAGATGGCCAAGAAGCGGTGCAGCGCGCCGACTTGGAAAGATGGGAATGCGGAGCTGTGGGAAATGGTGGCGGTTGGGGCGGCAGTGGTGGTGCTGGCGTCGTGTGTCATCCCGGGATTCTTCGCGCTGATGACGGTGATACAGTTACAGGCTGTGGCTTCTCGGAAGGTGTCGCTTTGGGTGCTTGGGAAGTTTGGATTGTGATGGGATGGGGCTGGGAATGAGATGGCGTTTGGAGGGATGTTTGTAACTGATTTGGTTGGGGATGAGGCGGCGGCGTTATGGCGCATTTGGGGGGGGGGTTGGATCTCATTATCATTGAGCCTCGAGCAGATTAAACAGACAGTATAGGAACAAGGATGTATGGCTAAATACCCACCTTCATAATCTTTCCTATTGATTCAGTATAAACTTGTGAAGCTCAAGACCATCAAGATCATAGCCGCCGAAATGAAGCACGAGAATGATAAGCATGCTGTGAAAGCCCGGCATGTAAAGGACAGGCACGGTGCAGAGCAGAACCTAGGAAGGCCATAAATATGTAAAGGTTAAGGGTAAAATTAAGAATTAAATTCAACAAGACGAAAATGACCACCGGCGTTCCATATAAGATACTACAGCAGGACAGCAGTGGAGACAATGGGTTGTATCAGAAAAAACACAGAAGAAGATCGCATGTGAATCCAGCCGGTTTTCCTGGACCAACGCAAGGACGCTCCTTGCAAACTAAACGAATATCCTTCGGTACGTTCTAAGCGGATGTCTGGAGCAAGAAATTTGAGTGACAAGAATCGTTAATCGGCGAGAACCCACAATCGGTGAAAACCCGCAATTAGTGACTACAACCTGTGCATGGTAGGTGAGAATCCGAAATCGGAGGGGGATCGAGACCACCATGACGCTCGGCGACCAAGGGCATGTAATGGAATAGCACGGGAATATTTCGTTTTGGAACTTTGCAAGAGGGAGCAAATAATATTGTAATACGTACGTATGCCTCTTCGTGCTGTTTGCTTTAAACGATTTCCCGTCAAGTGGAGCGCCGCGCGTCAATGTGCTCAAGTGCGCCCCTTCAATCGAGGAAAACGTATGCCCCCCAACATCGTGTGCTCAGCCAAATTCAGTCCATGTGAACCCATCAATACCTCAATTTCGAGGGGTTCTGTAACCAAAACCGGCTTGCTTCTATTCCTTCTTATATATGAATATATATATGGTGATATATATAGCGGTATAATGATATAGTACACACAAAATAGTGATATAAAAATCGCCCTGTAGGACAGGCATCTCAACATAACAGTCATCATCACCACCCACCCACACCCCATCATCCCCCCAACCTCTCCATCCTCCTATCCCCTCCCTCCCAAAAATAAAAACGAAAATAAAAAAACGCCTCATGGGCATTACCTAACCCACACCCAATGTATATGATCATATCCCTATATCCCAAACAAAATCACTCACGGCCACATCGCCTCCACAAACAGCTGATGCGCCCCCTTCTCCCCCCTCAACCTACTATACTCATCCTTAAAATTCATCCCCCCCCCTTCTTTAACGCCCTCCCACGCCTTCCTCCCGCTCCTACTAACCACATGCCGTCTCAGCGCCACATTCCACGCAAAACTGCTCAGCTCAATGCCCCCAAACGAAGACGCGCGGAGGAGGACCTCGTAATCCACCAGCGCCTGCTGGTCCCACGTCATAGCGCGCAGCGCCTTCGTCTCCGCCTCATCGAGGAGGTCTTCCTTCGCCAGGGCGACCGCGCCGCGCTTCGTGGCGTCCGCGCGGAACGTCTCAGCGGGTTTGGACTCAGACGTGACGTATAGCGTCTTCAGCTTGACCTCCTCCGCGAAGTCGAGGAGGAAGGCAGCTTGCTGGTCGTAGCCCGTCCAGCCGGCCTTTGTGGCGTCAGCGGCGACGCGGAGGTGCGCGCCGAAGAAGGCGGAGGACGTGATGCCGATGGGGGTTATGGGGATATTGTGTTTAGTGCGTAAGGCGTGGACGGCTGCAGCGGCGAGGCGGCGCGACGGCTCGCGGATGCGGAGGAGGCGCCCGAAGGAGGTCATGAATGGGGCGGGGTCGGAGTAGATGGGGTAGTTGAGGAGGGGGGTTGCGAGGGAGATGGTGGAGCGGCCGGGGGAGATAGGGGGGTGCTCGGAGAGCCAGTCGTCGAAGGCGGGGCGCCATTTCTCGGGGCGGAGGATCACGGTCGCGGCGAAGGTTTCGGACAGGAGGTGTTGGGGGGAGAGGTGGATGGGGGGGTTGAGAGAGAGGTCGCCTGGGGCGGTGGTGTGGAGGGCCATTTGAGGGCAGGCTAGTGCGAGGGAGGCCTTGAAGTGTTCGAGGTCGAAGAAGTAGTCGAAGGGGACGGTGTTGTTTGTTGTGAGCTTGGAGAGGTCGTCGGCGTCGCGCCCTACTATCTCCGGGACTACGAAAGCGCCTAGGACGGTTAGTTTGGCTAAGGGTTGTGATTAGGGGACCAACCTCCTGCTTCAATGGCATAACGCAAACAGGTCAGGAAGACGTTCCTGACGTTGCCAATTCCCCCCTGGGGCGCGCCACAGACAATAGTCAAGTTGTCATTCCATTTCTTGCTCGCGCAGACCTTCTGTATCGGCGCCGGGTCGAAGGGGCCATCAATCTCATGCTCAAGGAAGGCCTGAATGAACGACGCCTTGTCGTCGAGGTTGGTGCCCTCGGGAAGCTTATCTGTCTTCCCAAGGGGGAGGATCTTGGCCGTGATGTAATCTAAGTCGTGGCGGTAGAGGGCGAAGTAGAGGAAGGCAGTCGAGACGGCGACGAAGAGCATCAACGCTCGCAGGGGCGGCTTGAAGGGTAGCATAGCTCGCTGGCGCCGCGGTTGTTGTCGTACTGCGCTTGTCGGCGCACGACAATCTATATAACTTTTTCGTGGCGCCGCGAGGCGACGAGGCTACGTACTAGAAGTAGTGGAGATCGGCAGTTGTTGGTTGGGAATTTGACCACGCGCTTGTCTCGGTCCTGTCGCGCAAATGAGATGTCTCGAGATGGTGTATATACATATGTACAAAAAGAAGAGAGAGAGAAGAAGTCGATAGCTACATTGCCGATGGAGACCTTATCGAAATTGTCGTAGACAATGGGGGGGAATAGCGGCAATCAGATCCGTTGAATTGCCCCTTGGCGTGCTTTCAGACAAGATTTCGATTCTTGGCAAAGATGTAATCCGCGCGTAACTGAACTGGATTTGGTGTTGGTTTGGTACGAAAAAGTAGGTACCTGAGAACGGGAGCCCCACACGTGGATAACATAGTGCTGGGTAGGCAGACCAAGCATAAATTGTGTATCATGTGGCATTTTGAGGGAACGACGAAGAATTTGCTGAAGAATTGGCCAAGAATCGGTGAAGATTGGTCAAAAATCACGGAAAAATTGTGAAAGGAAGAGAAGAGTGCTTGATTTGGCTTTATAGAAAGCTTGTCCTGAGTTGGACCATCGTATTCGGTGTGGCTATGCTTCTTTTGGGGGTGGACCCCTTCCGACAAGAGCCGCTCAATCGCCAATTGACGCCGTAGCCAGGCACAGAGGGGAAGGTCCAGTTTGGCAATTCAAGTGATATTCATTCATTCATTCATTCATTTGAGTGGAGTAAGAGTGTCTGCCGGAGGAGAGTATCTCGGGGTATGGGCGGCGCCAGCGACGACCACTTCAGCCGCCACGGCTACTAACATGGAAATACCACGAGTGGCCAGTCAGACAACTCGGAGCTCCCAGCCTCTCATGATCTCTTCTGTACGCTCGCTGTACGCTGTGCGCAAATCGGGAGCTTGCCGCACGTACCGCGGTGTCCATAGCGTTGTGTCAATGGAGTGTGGTGTCCATGGTATCCCATGTCCATGCTCATCAAAGTGTCGTCGTCACCAAACGATGATACCCTGTATCTGCACGTTCTCTGAGACCGAGCCCTACTGAACCCCGATTGAGTAAGAAGTGCATACGTCCGTAAGGATAACGCGGTCGGTCGGCCGAGCGTGAGATACGATTGTTGTCTGTCTTGCAAGGTCTTGCCAGGTCTTGCAAGGTCTTGCCCTAACCTTGGTGGATGAGCAGTTCATGTAGCTGTTTGACAGAGTCAATTGGTCGGTGAAGACGCGTCGAGCGCGAGGAGTGGTACTTGCAGCTGTGCTTGGATTGACTGGATTGACGGGATTGTCTGTCAGTGGCTTGGCTGTTGGGTTTGGCAATGACGGTGCACCTCCGTAACTCATTCGGCATGTAATGGCCATACTCTAGCAAACGCTAATAAACGTACGGCGGTACGTACGTACGTATGGAGATTGAATAAACTAACCTCAACAGTTATACAGCATAAGTATAATCAAACTCTACCGCTCCACGAAATAAAGCATAGCCAAGCTCATGCGCCATACCATACTATCAAGTAGACCCGACTTAAATGCCCTCTTGTTCCCCTCTTCCCCAGACAGCGGCACCCGTTCTTTCCATGCCTTGCGCCCTACCCGAGCCCCGTTTGATGTTTCAGCACTTAACGCGACCCTGACGCGTCGCGTCGCGCGCGAGACGCGTCAAGGTCAGGGAACAGGGAAAAATGCGACGAAAGAGCGGTGATGGATGGACCGGAGGGCTGCCACGTTCGAGACTGTGCTCCGGACGTACATGCTGCACAGAGAACACGTTTGCTCAGCGCGCAGAGGGAGAGGCGGGGGAGAGGTTCGCACATCTTGGGTGGGTGTACATTGCTGCATGTATGTATGTATGGTGATAGAAGGTCGATCAGGCGCCGGCGTGGGGTACAGTTGCAACGACGACGTTGTTAATGCGCATGTTGTCGACTGTGAGCGTACAATTGCAATTAATTGCCTTCAATTACTTTTGGTCTATAGACGCAGACATACTAAGGATTTAGTATGCCCTGAATAAACCCGTTGGGCAACCCTTCGCGTAGTCGTAGTTGTGGTCCCTTCGTCCCTTCGTCCCTTCATCTTCATCCCATGATCACGACCCACCGTACTATTATACTCGAAATACTCGAGTATCGCGAACTCCAACTCCGTACTACTGTACTCTGGCCGGGGGTTATTCATAGATACGACTCTATATCTACATCTGCAACTCCCCTTGCACCTACTATAGTATATCGCTGTCGCCCCCTCTTCTGTACTCTCTCTACCCACATCCCCGGATGCCCTCGAGACCCATATGACCATATCCCGCTCAGCTTCACGTCGCATCCAAGCCCAAGGTGTCAAGACATGCATTCGAGTGGAGAGTTCCCAGAGTTCCCCCTCACTCCATCGCCAGTCCATGCCTAGCTCTCCTCAAGCTCAAGCCCGGTTCATCCCAAATGCGACGTGAAAGAGGAGAATTAGCTGAGAATAGCTGCGCATAGCTGCGAATAGCTGCGAATAGCTGTGAATAGATCCACTGGTGTACAGTAGTTCTCCGGTAGCTCACGCCTCTCGCGCCCTCAGATTTGCGCCTAAACCAAAAGACAGGACCAAAAGACACGGCTAGGCGTTCTTAGCACTTCTCGGCCCCCATCACACACCCACAAATCCCACAATCACACCCACCAAACACCCACCAAACGCACGCACACGCCCACACGCCCACCGCCGCCCTCCCTCCCACACTCTGCGTCCGCCCGCTGCCCACCATCCCCCCATCAAAAATTCGCTCCACAACTCCAATACTCCTCCTCCTCCTCCTACCCTCCATCCATCCTACAACCTCCCACCCTTCGATCGTCTCTTCTACCCCAACCACACAACAATTACGTACTTTACGACCTCTCACTCGTTACCTCTTACTCTTCTACATCCTACGTCTTTTTATTACCTTCTCCTTTCTTCAATTCCATCGATTCGACTCGGCTCAATCAACAAGTCCACGTCCAAGAAGCGCGGGTTGACTTTGCGACGCGACAAAACCACACCTCACAATCAGTCCAGACCAACAACCGAAAACTGCGCGATTGTTTGTCAACTCACCAAATCACGTCGGATTATGCTATAAGATATTACATTCAAGTCGCGTCAATCTTCAATTTCTCAATCCGTCGCGATATTTTCCGGAACCGCTCGTTGAACGCGCTTGCTGCTCCCAGCATTCCAGGGCCTGCCGCGACCAGAACTCAAGGACCCTTTTGGTCTCATTCGAAGCGCTCGCCGTGGTCCCCCAACCTCGCCATTTTTCACACCCACCAAAAATACCGACCTCGACATATCCGAACCTGCATATCACGGGTCTTTTGTCTTGTATGTTGCACTGCGACCGCTAACGGATTGCGCACGAGACATTCTGCATTCCTGTCCATGCCACTGCGCTGACCGTGGTCGACGCCGGATCGGTTGCGGCGACCGCCATTGGAGGTCGTGACCTCACTTGGACCCCAACGATCCTGAATGACCTCGTACGACGGCGCATATACAGCCTCTCAATTTTAATACTGGCGCATCTCTTCAATTCGATAACCTTTGTCATATTACGAACAAGTTTCTCCCGCCACCTATACAAATCTACACTTCAATCTCACCAACCTCTATTCCCAACCTTCTACCTTTTCCCGAAAGCGACCATCTACCACAATCGAACATGATGCTTCCATCAGAAGTGTCTGCGCTCTCGCGGAACTCCCGCTACTGTACCCCAGAGCCAACGGCTATGGCCGAGCTCCCAGAGCCATCGGCGCCTCGCGCACAGCCTAGATTGAGAATTAAGCGCCGCAACATCTCACACGCTGCTGGACCAACCGATGCCTTCCTTGCCTCTGTGGCTGCAGCAGATGTGCCGATCCCCTCGATCGAGTTCCCAGATGCAGCTGGAGACTGTGAAATGGTCGATGCTGGTGCCGCGCAGGGTTGCCTATCCCCACTGGCCCGTCCGTCGCCTCCAAAGACCCCGATGCCAGGACAGTCAAGCCCATATCACGGCGATGGCTACAGAAGGACAGACTGGTATGCTTCTACACCAGGCACCCCAGACAGGCCTTCATCCTCTCACTCCGATCCGTCGAACTGGTCGGATGACTCCTACTTCAGTGGCAACAACACCATGCGCTCCAATGGCACGATCTGCACCAGCCCAGATAGCGAGATGGGAGATCCATTTATCTCAGCGCCCCAAAAGGAGGCCAAGAACAAGCACACCTTGACTTATAACGAAGTCTACGATGCGACAAGTGATCAATATTCTCAAGTTCGCGGCAAGAAGTATGTCGAGAGCCGCTGGACCAAGGACCAAAGCGATCACCTCCTGCGCACATACCATATCTACCTCCAAGATCCCACAGTTACACCCTTCCGCATGGAGAATAGCCGCATTCCACCTGAAGGCATTGTGCGCCGCGTCTCCAAGGAGGCCAAGAGGAGCTGGAAAGGCCCGAAACCCAAGAAGCAATCCAAGCTCGAAAAGGGCAAGGAGCGCCAATACCCCGGCTCGAACCTGACTGTTGAGTCAGCTTACCTGGCGCCGTTAAACTCGGACGCCATGGACTTTGCGCGCGGCCGCAGCCCAACACCTACTGGTGATGCGCCAAAGGCTTATATTAAGTGGGCCCACTCTGGAGCCGCAACGCGCAGCCACCTCCGCCAGCTGTGCAAGTACAACTATGACCAGTCGGCACAGATGTACATGTACCTCCAAGGTCGCGCTACCACCCCCTTCTCTCACCGCGAAGACCCCTCTACCACCTACCTCCTTGGAGAGGCTCGCGCCCCCGCAGACACCCAACCTTTCTCCACCAAATCCATCGCGCTCTCCCTTGCCACCAGCGCCTCGGAAACCATGCAGCCCGGCGGACCCCTTGCGCGCCTCGCCCTGTCCCCACCCCTCAACACCACGACAAGCATTAGGGACTTCGCAACCCCACCCACTCGCCGCCTCGGCTCCCCCTTCGCCGCGAAGACCTACGGCCCGCAATCCTCGCGCCCTCTCCTTCCCCCTCCATCCTCCAAATCCCTCGCCTCTACCCTTCGCCCCTCAACCTTAACAGGCACGCAAAAGCGCCGCGCCATGCACGACCCCGAAGACGCCCGTTCCTCCCGTCCCTCCATCCTCTCAGCGAACTTCTTTGGACCCCCAACAGAGCCCACAGCCGAGAGCCAGCAGGAGAACGACCAGCGCCGTGTCCGCAGCCGCGGATACACCGTCAACGATGCCTCGGTCCGCAGCCGCGACTACGCCCTCTTTGCCCCGCGCTCGATCAACTTCGCATCTCCAGCAAACGATGTCTTCGGCCCCGAGCCCTCTCCCGGCCCAACCTCGCGCACACACTCGCGCACACAATCAGAGCGTAGCTCATGGTCACGTGTTGCTGGTGCTGCGGCGCTATTGCCACCGCCGGTGTTCAGACTCAATGGCACGGGAAGGCAGGAGAATAGCACGTTCCCCCGCCGCGCGCATGGGGTGACTGAAATGGATGTTGTGGGTGGGGTGAGGTGGAGCACTTTCCAGAATACGGGCAGGCAGGTGAGGCATTCGATTGAGTCGTTTGACTTCGCGCCGAGTCCGATGAGGGCGAGGCTTGAGGAGATGAGCGAACGGATCGATGCGAGGGATCGGAGTCTTTGAGTCCCAAGCCACAAAGAAGTGTGTGCTGTTGGATGGATTGTGGGATATGTTTTACTCTTGATACGAATGAATGACCCAACAACGGTGGCGTTCTAATAGGGCACGCATTACGACGATAGCCCCGGATACTATTTTCCATTTTATTACCTTTTCTTTACTTTATTCCTCCCGTCGACACCCGTCTACGAAGCCACAGAACGAGCTGCCCAGCGCCCCTGCAGACTCGGAACGCGACAGACGCGGCGGCGGAGAGTTTTTTTTTTACGCATACGAACTACCTACCCACCTACCTACACGCAAAACAGCATCGCGAAGGATTTTGCGCGCATTGCATTGTACCGGCGTTCAGCATTGTGCTTCCCCCCCACCGCACTCACCTTCTTCCACACCACCCAAAGATGTCACAACAATTCTTCACTTCTCCTTTTTTCGACATCTGAGGGCGGTGCTGATGAGGAGGACTGGCGGGATGGAGGAGGGAAGCATTGAGAAAAAGGAGAACCGATGATTTTATTTTTGCATGAGACGGACGCACCGAGACGAACGAGAATATGTGACGACTAGATGACCACCACCATAACAACAACAACCATGCTACGACTGAAACGAACTATGAATAAGCTATACTTCCAACACTGGACCCATTTTCTTCTTTTTTTTTGTTCTTCTTCTTTGCCGACTGGGATGGTCGGTCGGCTGTTTTATGGGGATTGTTTTGGCGGGGGGTTTGTTGTGGTTTTTTTTTCGGATGGGGAGGTTAGGTTTGGGGGGATTGATGACGATTATGAGGGATGAGGTGTTGTGGATAGATACTGCGATGATATTGGGGGATTAGAACTTGCTGTGAGGGGGTGCTTGCTCGAGGATGGATAGAGATGGGGGGTAATGAATGGTGTGGAGCATGGGAGAATGAATGGAAAGCTGTGCAAGCAATTATTTGGTTTTCAAGTGATGTGATGTGATGTGATTTGATGTGACCTTGCTGGACTTCCTGTTTGCCTAGACCCGAGGAGATGGAGCTTCTCCCATCATTAACCCCCCCCCCCCCCCCGAGCCAAACCCAGGTTCTCGGGAATAACGACCCACCCTGCTGCAAGCATATAAATAAACATCTTACTCTCAGCCTCCTTTTGCTCTCCAAACCTTCGAGACTCACACTTATACTTACCTCGAGTTGCTATAGATCCTCGACCAACACAGCAACGATGGACAAGAAATATCCATGTTCCGCCCGGGACACCGTACGTAGAGCCGTATATCATATAAACTTAAGGTGCGTCTGCCTTTGTTTAAAGATTACCAGCGAAAGCGACGCTGTCACCGTCGCGAAGGGTTGCTGTTGTCGCCTATTCTTCTCGCCGCCGTTACATCCTGGTCGTCACCAACTACCCCGCTGTCGGTTTCCATACACGTAGTTACGCAGCACGGTGATCCGGTGGTGTGGATGTCCTGTCAGCTGGTCTATCCTTGATTCCTTCATCTCCTAGTATAAGGAGGCAGTGGTCTCTGCCGTCGCAGCGCTTTGTTTAGCTGATGGTGAACTGAGTTGGTATGTTCTATCTCCATTCGTTTGGTGGTTCCTAAGTTGTGGAGTGGCTGGGGGGTATATATATTGTAAGCCCCTTGCCACTTTGGCTGTGCTGGAGGTGAAGGGGTTGTTGGACTACGGAGCAACGGGGGGAAGTGGATGGGTGGGATGTATGGAGGTTGGTAGGTGGAGGGGATTTGAGATGTGAGAAGTGGGATGCTGGATAGTGAGGTTTGCCACAACTTGATCCTTATATAGTGGCGCGGAGTATGGAAGTGAGAAAAATGAAGCTATGATATACGATTCACCCCGAACGGCACTCTGTGAGCAGTAAACACCCACCTCAGTCCTGAGTCCATCCTTGAGAGCCGTATTCAGCAGTCCATACATATCTACCGCTCCTTGCCCATAGTCATACAGGATTGATCAACTTACAATGGTACTTAAACAGCTCCCCAACAAAAGTAGTCTCTGACCACGGACAGCACTTAATACACACAAGACTATGATAGCGATATATTGACCCGCCGATACAGCCTTGTCAGAAATAATAAAAAACCTACTTTGGGCACCTCCTTCATCGTTGCCAGGTGCACGCCAAAATGGAAAAATGGCCGCCACGAAGGCGTTGGGGCGGGGGTTCAAAGAAGTGTTTGCTACATGAACTAGGATCAATATAGCCGCGGCCAGTTGGAGCAAGGTCTCCGTGGGGAGTGGGGATATTGCTGTTGTTTGGGGGTTCTCGTTGTTTGAGTTTTGCTGTCGTTAGCTAATCCTCTTGTCGATCCATTCGTCACATAATTTCTTGGTACAAACCCTGTAAACCTATCAATTGCCTCGACTCGTTACGAACCGGTGCTATTAGACTGGGACTCTAATAGGCGCCGTCTATTTTGTTCAGGCTGCACACAGCTGAAGTGAGTTTTGGTAGTGACGATGGTGCTTTTATAGTTGCGTGGACCTATCACGGGCTCTCGTATCGTCGTGCCGCCCCCCTGCCGCCACCACCCCACCACGGCAGGCACATGCGCTTCCCCGCATTTTGTGGCAGGAGCACACGACGTCAACCAACATTCCCACCTGCATATCTCGATCTACAGACTCACGTAGCTCAACAAAGCAACCCATAAATCGATTTTTTATTTGTATTGATTTTACGAGACACGCCTTTGTGAGACAGAGTTGAAACAGTGCTCAGCTCATCATCCATACATTCCCTCAGAGCGCACCCCGCGCCTTCGAAGCCGTACAACCACCACAGCTATGGGCGACAACAGCGCCAGCTCCTCCGGCTCAGCCGACACATCCACCTCCGACACTGTCCAGCACCCTGAACAAGAAATTAACGTCCTCATCACCGGCTTCGGCGTACGTCTCACTCTCCCAACCCCTCCCCGTACAACAGTGCCCCGCTAACCCCCTCCCAGCCCTTCAAAGCCCAATACCCCATCAACCCCTCCTGGGAAATCGCGCGCTCCCTCCCCTCAACCCTGCATCTCCCGCCCTCACCCCACGCACCTGGCGGAACAAAGGTGAATCTCCGCGTGCACCCGCGCGCAATCCGCGTCGCATACGCAGTCGTGGAATCTGTAGTCCCAGGGCTATGGGAGGGAGAAGACGGGTGGCGCCCTGATTGGGGAGTGCATATCGGTATGGCAGCCGGGCGGGAATTCTACTGTCTCGAGAAGCGGGCTGCGGGGTTCGGGTATAAGGTAGGGGATGTGGAGGGGTGTTTACCTGACAAGGCGGGGACGGAAGGGGATGTGTTGGAGCCGGGGATTGAGGTTGAGGATGTGGTGGGGGTGTGGAAGGGGAGGGTTGGGGGGGCGGATGTGAGGGCTTCGGAGGATGCGGGGAGGTATCTTTGTGAGTATATTTTGCATGAGAGTTTGGGGTTTTTGAGGGGGGGGGAGAGGGAGGGGAAGTGTCTGTTTTTGCATGTTCCTGCTGGGGTGAACGAGGTGGATGTGGAGAGGGGGAGGAGGGTTGTGTTGGGGCTTGTGGAGGCGGTGGTGGAGGTTGGATGGGAGGGAGGGGCTAGAGAGCAAGGGGGTGGGGGGGAGAAGGAGGCTGTGAAGGGGTTTGTGGGTGGGGGATCGGTGAGAGAGAGGGTGGGGTTGTGAGGTGGATTTGATTAACCGTTGTGATGGCATCCACGTAATATATTTGAGAGAATGCAGCGCGTAGGTTTATGAGATGGCAATTAGCAACCCACTTTACATTTTCCATTTGTCATTGGTGAGACTAGACTATAAGTGCTCCATGAGGGCGCGCCGCTTGCCATGAAATATAATTTGAATTTGTATATACTTTTTATACATATCTGGTCCGATCTTCGGCTGTGCGTAGCTAATAACTAAAGTGGAGGTTTAACAGTGTTGCCCGAGTACTACTCGTTGCGAGTACTACTCGAGTAATTACTCGAGTAGTACTCGACTCGAAGAAATCTGAACTACTCGAGTACTACTCGAGTAGTACTCGAGTAGTACTCGAGTAGTTGCCAAGATAGCCAAGAAGCGG